TTTCTTCCATATTTCATCGAAAGGAGCCTTAGGAACCCCATATTCTACTGCCTTGCTTCATTCTTATGTTACATTTCAGGATCCTTTGTGACAAAACAGGACAAAAACCATGAACTGAAGCATCACCAGACATGTCTAAGATAATGCTTAGCTTACAAGCTAAAACACCGATGAAACACGAAAAATAGAGGAACGAGTTTTATAGGCTAAGGGTGGCAAGGGAAAACGGATGGTGAAAATGAGTTGGAAAAGTTGGCCTAAACCTAGGCCAAAATGAACTGGTGCAGGTAGTTTACTGAAACCCTTGAATTCAGGGGAAAGGTGTGTGAAAAAATGAGGAGGAGCTATCTGGGGCGAAAAAGTGGCAACAAAAAAATGTGTGGGAGAAAGACTAAGTCATTTTGAGGACAAGTCACTACAAACAACAATGTCGTCCATATAGCCTCAATGACACATTGCAGGCGCTCCGAGCGAAGACGACATGCCACTATCGACGCCGTTGTTATGCAACATCGTTGGGCCAACATGGGCCTATTGTTGGTAGTAGCCATGATAACCCTCCTCTCCTTGCCAACTTACATGATCAAACATCCTATAGTTGATGATGCCAACGATACCCCAATATTCGCTTTGAATAGAACTAACGTTTTCAAAATGAACATTATAGTTTTTGTTTTTCTTCAAAATGATATTTAAAAATAATAATTTATAAGTGTGAGTATCCTATTCTATATACCTAAATAGTTGAATCCCACATATAATATATGTGTTACGTGACATAAAAATCTTACTATCGAAACTTCTTCCGAATACAAATCTAACGATGGTCAAACTTATTTTTTGAAATAGATGGTCAACAATAATTTTGATGGCATAAAACACATATTTTATTGGTCAAATTGATGATCAAACTTAATTCTTGAAATATGTGTACACATTATAAATTGGATTGAAAGAAGTATACCGTTTCATTAAGTGCTTTAAAAAATGCATGTGGGTAGTTATGCATAAATGCCAACTCCACACAAATACTGATTACTCCTCCCAATCAGTAGTGCAATGGGTTAGAACGAAGAAAAGTAAAATTATAATAATCAGTATAACAAGACTGAAAGGGAAAACATGAGTGGTAAACTAAACACTACTGTACTACTACTAGCAATATATGTTTATTAAAAAAGGGGCATCTACAGGGTACACAATCTGTTGATGGATGCACGGTCGTTCCATTCCAAGCTCATGTATGATAAGCTAGGATTAGATTTTTGGAATCCAAGTGATGGCTACTTGTAGTCCTTGCTACAGCAACCAATGTTGTTCATGTCTGCCTGCCTCACCAATTTATAGACGCCACTCACTTGCCACTCCCGCAGATCTTATCCAGCTTAGTAGTACTAGTTCCAGACCTCAATGCACTGATAATACAATTTTTCAATTCTGCTGAAAATAGTGTTCGTCCGAATTAGTTTTATTCAAATCATACAAATTAGAGACTATAACAATGACAAATGAGTTTGAAAAAGTAGATACGTTTGAGACGTACTCCCTCCGTTCGGTGAAGAGTGTACATATAGCTTCAAAATTTGTCCACAAAAGAGTGTACTTCTATCTCTCCAATACACTTTAAAGTAGAAAAAAATACTTCTCTCTCATCACATGGTAATCAAGACCAATAGCAATCTACACATGGTCTTCTTACTTTATACATGCACTTAGCTCATTGGGCGTTGGGTAATTAAAGATGAGAGAGATGGTGGCTTGCACCTTTCCAATGAATTTTTTACTCAACTCCATAATTTGTCCTAATTTTTTTAGATGTACACTCTTCACCGAAAGGAGGGAGTATCAGTGATCCCACCACTTCAAATTTTCTCAACATGTGTGCTCATCATTAAAATTGTTGTGGCGAATAGATTGATTTACTAGCTTCATCCATCAACTTTCGTCTAATCTATGCATGAGAATCTTTTAAATTACATTACATTTACTTGTGACATGCACAACTTTTCATGTTAAGTTTCTTTTGTGTTTATGTAGAAATTTCTCACGTAACTTAAATCAGAAGGATTGAGTGAGTATTCTACTCAATATTTAGAAACTATTCAATTTCGTGGCAACACAAAAGGTATCATCTACTTTCGTAAATTTTACATGTAACTCTAGTGACTAGTCCAACCTGAAAGCCAATGGTGGAGCTTGGATTGACTGCCCCAATTAAGCTTCATGGTTGTTTTGATGCCACACCTGAGTATTGTGCCTTTCGTTAACAGAATTGTAAAAAATGTAGGAATAGTAAATAAACATAACTAAAATGTCTTGTCCATTGGTATTCTACAGAATCTGAGTTTGTTTGATTGCATCATAAGAAATACAAAGTTTTTTTTTTCCAAAAAGTTTGCGTGGATGTTAGATTTTCTATGAAATGTAGTATAAATAGTTCCTTAGAAAAAACTCCTATAGAATATAGTCCTACAAATCAAATGACTAACGCAGATTTTTTTCTAAGGATTATACTCCTCCAAAATCCGATGCAAATCTCTTGAATTGAAGAGGTTGTAAGATTTAACTTCAATCATCAATTAGACTAGTAATATATGAGTCATGTGACATAAAAATCACACCTTTGTTTCTTGCCTTGGGGCGAACAGGGCGACTATGGTTTCTGGCTCCTGCCAGTGTCGCTGCAGATATGTCTCACCTCCTGTGGCCTTAGGGCCACGGGTTGACGTGGATCCCAATCCTTGCTAGCGGGAGGGCTTCGTTTTTAAGTGTTTTTGTGAGTTTGGTTAGGGTTTGTGTCTGCTTAGGAATGTGAGACGGTAGCAGCTCCCTGAAGATGGTTTAAGGTTCTCCCTGTAGAGTTCCAGTCCCGATGATACGCCTAGCATCGTCAGAGGGTGTGTGAAGGTGTTTCTCCAGCGGATCTCACGGGGTTTGCTCGGTGGTTGTCTTTGGTGGACTCGGTTGGGTTTGTTCTTCATTCATGTGTCTGTGTGTCTACAGGTTGGATCCTTTCGATCAACAATCCTATTCATCAGTGACGATTCCTATTCTGGTGCACTGTTCTTGCGGAGCCTTAGCACGACACTTTCTCGACTGTCTACTACAACAAAATTTACCCAGCTCTCATGAGAGACGGGTGATGACGGCGGTGCACCTTCGGCTCATTCCAGGGCTTGTAGTTATCGCTACGTGGTCTACGGATATAGATGTAATTTCTATTACTTCTCGTGTTCCTTATACCGCCTTGATTGTTGATGAATAGATCAAAAGTTTTTTCCGCAAAAACAAAAATCACACCATCGAAACTTCTTCTGAATACAAATGTAATGGTGGTCAAACTTATTTTTTGAATAGAATAGTTTGGATTGCTTACCACATGTGGTTATTTTTTGAAATAGATGACCAACAATAATTTTGATGGCACACAACACATATTTTATTGGTCAAATCGATGGTCAAACTTAATTCTTGAGATACGTGTATGAGTTATAAATTGTGCTGGAAGAAGTATACCCTCTCATTTAAGTGCTTTGAAAAAAAAATGCATGCGCGGTAGTTATGCACAAATGCTTACTCCCCACGAGAGACAGACTACTACTACTCCCAATTACAGCAGTACAATGATCCATCGCCAAAAATGTACTACAATGGGTTACAATGAGGGTAAAAATTTTATTGTACTGGTATATACCAAGACTGAAAGGGAAAACATGTCTAGCAATATATGTTTGTTCAAAAAAGGGCATTGCATTTACAGGGTAGGAGTACTACACAATCTGTTGATGTATGATAAGCTACTACTAGAAGTGGATTTTTGGAATCCAAGTGATGGCTACCTGCAGCAGTACTTGCTACAGCAACCTAAACTGTTCATGTCTGCCTGCCTCACCAAATTATAGTCACCACTCACTTGCCACTCCTGCAGATCTCATATTACCCAGCTTAGTAGTTAGTACTAAGTTCCACAACCCAATACACTGCTAATACTATTTTCAAATATAAAAAATCCTCTACACCTTGCTTTTGACAGCATGATTAGTCCAGTATAATCACCACTTGCAGTTAGCACCCAACCTAATAATTCCAGCACTGGGGAGTTGAAAGGTCTTGGCTGGGAAAAAGAGCCCAACTGGGCAGTAGTAAATAACAAGAACTGAACTTTTCTGGAGGACAAATAAATGTTTTTAGTGGGAAATAAATATGTGTTTGGCAAAGAGGAAAATGAAAGAAAAATCATTTGGGCTTTGCGGTTTTGGAGGAGTAGTAAAATGTGAAAGCAACGAGGCTCTGGGGAAGGAGGAAGGGAAAGCTTTTTCTTGGTTTCAGTAGCGCCCATTTATACGCGCCTCTCCCGTCCCGTCTTGTCCTCTCTCTCTCCTCCTTCCGCCCTCCCCCAATCTCTCTCTCCATCCATCCATCACCTCACAGGCACAGCTCTTCTTGTTGTCCTCATCCGCCCCATCAGGAGCTGGAGCTGGAGCTGGAATGTGAGTGGCCTTTGGTTTCATCCCCTGCTCCTCCCCCCTCCTCCCTCCTGCTGCGCTCTGCTGCATGCATGTCTTGGATCCTTTCGCCCGCCTTGGTCTCTTGCTGAGATTCTCGCCGCGCACATTCACGGCCCCTTCAACGTCCCCTGCCCTGCGTCGCGAGCTCGTTCCGGCTCTGGGCTCGCTGAAATCCCCGTGGATTTTGGGTACTGTAAATCCTCTTTTTTTGCTTTCAGTAAAAAAAGTTCCAGCTTTCGGTTCAGTTCTTGGGGAATTTTGCTCCTTCAGTTTCTTGATTCGCTCCGGTTTTAATTCCGGCGACCTCTCTCACCCTGCATTCCCCATCCTCCGCATTCTGTTTCTGAGGATTTTTTTCGCCCCTCTTTAGCGGCAATCTGCACTTCTGTTTCTGATTTAATCGATGCTCAGTCTCAATCTGCGTTGCTTGTTTTTGTGCCGCTCTTGATTGCAGCAGGTTGGTAGGCGCTTAGTCACATCCGGACCGCCGCAATGATGAGCTTCAAGAACCACCATGAGGGATTCGCGGGGCAGCAGCTGCTCGCCGCCGCCGCCGCCGCGGGCCAGGCCTCCGGTGGGGCGCCGCTGCCGTGGTGGGTAGGGTCCCAGCTGCTGTACGGCGAGCCGATGGGCCACGGGAAGGCGCCGCCGGCCGTGCCCATGTCCATGTCGCCGCCGGAGGATGCCTGCCGGGACGGCCAGTTCCAGGTCGTGCCGAGGGCCCAGGCGCTGCTGGACGCCGTGCCGCTGCCGCCGCAGCCCATGGGGGAGAGGGGCATCCCTGAAGCTCTCAAGTTCTCCATGGCTCATGGTGAGGCTGCTCTGTCCTTTGAGATAGGTGTTTGTTCTGTGGCCTGATATGAGCTTATTTAAACTGTGCATGCTACTTGCTACTAGTAGAAAGAGTAGATAGTGGTGTGACACATGGCTGGGTTCAGCTCTCAGTAATTTAAGTTTTCAGCATTCACACACACAGAAAAAAGATTCAGTACAAATTTGGCAATGTTTGTAGCATATATAGACATACAGAATGCAGTTCTAGGAGTGCTTAGGTAATGTTGAGTGCACATAGTAGGGTGGTGTTTCTCTCAGATAATAGGGCTATTACAAGAAAACCGCGTAATGTATCGTGAGAACAGTATGATGTGCCATACCCAATGAACTAGTTAAATCTGTGCATGTTAGTAGAAAAGAGTAGAGAGTGATTTGATACATGTGAATGACACAGGGTTTGGTTCAGCTCTCGGTAATTTAAGTTTCAGTACAAATTTGGCGCTATCTGTACCTATTTCTCGACACAGGTAGACAAATTTGGTGTTGTTCAGAGAAAGGTAGATACGCTTTTAGTATGAACAAATTTGATGTTGTTCAGAGAAAGGTAGATACGTTTTTAGTATGAAGTGTAAACCCAAATATTAGAATGCTTGCCGCATCGTGAATATGTGAGTTAATTAGCTTAAATTAGATAAACATTTAGTACTTTTCAATCTGCAAAAAAAGAAAAGATGGTTATCTTTGGTAAGGGAAATATAGGGTAATTTTGAACAAATCTTGCACGGAGGTGGAATCTGTATATGTTGTGACAAGCGGATGATGACTCATGCTGGATGAGGGCTGGTTGGATCCTTCTAAAGTAAGGTCTTATGTGGATGCCATTATTCATAGACACCATTTACATCACATAATCAATTCAACAGATATTTTTGTACCGCTTTCACTCAAAGGCTAAACCTTGGCTAAACCTGTGACCTTCCTTCTTATACCCCTTGAGTTCTTTTAAATTTACTGGTTCCTTACGGTTCTAGCATAAGTATTGCCAATTTGTGTATACCTTGATTCAGACATCAATCAACATCTTGATTCAGAAAAACCATACTGCACGATTATGCTATTTCCGACATGAGAAAAACACCCCAGCGCATAACTAGTCTGTAGACACGCGCCATGGAAATTCTGACATTTTCTTTGGTTAAAAAAACATTTTCTTCTGTTGAGTCGTGGCATGACACCAAAAGAACCTAGTATGTAACCTAATATGCCTTGTAGAAAATCTGATGCTATATAGACTCGATCCTTCTGAAACTTATGCTTTTTTTATGAACACTGAAACTTATGCATTTGATATAGAAAATTGAACATCATAAGTCAAATTGCCATGGGTTCATGGATCCACAGCTTTTTAGCACATGTTCTTCTGATATGTAATGCCATGTAAGCGTCTCAATGAGATTAGAAGGATTTCCCTTTGTCAGTTAAAGATCTCCTATCATGCATGACTTTCTCTTTCTAGCAACTTGAATGACTGGCGGATTTCAAAGTACAGACGTACTTCTGTTTTTATGGACCTTGGATATGTGATTGATGGTGCATTTGGGTTCAGGTAAAGGAGGGAACAGTTCTGAGCACTCTGCACCTATCACTCTGCAGTCACCATTCACAGAATATAATGACCACTTTGAGTTGGGCCTTGGCCAATCTGTGGTAAGCTTTTCCCACTTGTTCGGTTTATCTGTATGAATAATGGTGACAAACCTGTGATTAAATTAGTAATGCATTTAGGACTTTGCAACCTTACAGTTACAAATGCCTTTCTGAATTTCCTTAGCCTTTGAGTTCATCAATGCCTTCTGATATTTTTCAGATTTCCTCCAACTACTACTCTGATCAGCAGTATGGCCTACTTTCTTCTTATGGAATGAGATCAGCGGTAATGTGCATTTAGTTTTTAATGAGTCATCTCCACGATTTCTATGACTAATCCTTGTATATATGTACTCCCTCCGTCCGGAAATACTTGTCATCAAAATGGATAAAAGGGGATGTATCTAGACATATTTTAGTTTTAGATACATCTGTTTTTATCCATTTTGATGACAAGTATTTTCGGATGGAGGGAGTAGTACAGAACTTTAGTCCAGTGTTCATCTGAATTCCACAGTTTGAACAATCTAGCACAAAGTTTCCGTAAAATGGTTCATAGTGCTAGTTATATTATGTATGTCATTTCTGAACATGAAGTTAGTGCAAATATAAATCTTTAGTTTTCTCAATAAGCAACAAATGAAATCTAGCACAGAGTGTACACCGAGTACAAAGTTAATATTTTTGAAGTTTGTGAATAGCAATTGCATGGTGAAGCTTTCTTGGCTTAATGTCAGGAAAGTGTTCTGGGGTATCCTTTTTTCATTGACACCAAAAAGGATATATAATATTCCCTCCGTCCCAAAATAAGTGTCTCAAGCTTAGTATAACTTTGTACTAGAGTTAGTACAAAATTGAGACAGTTATTTTGGGACGGAGGGAGTAGGATTTATCTTTGAGTTTGTAAGGCTGAAGCTTGTATACAATTTATTTTATCTAGTAATGTGTGATATCTAATATGATCCTCCATTTCCCTTTGTGCAATGCAGTCTAGTGGGCGTATGCTTATACCACTGAATATGCCTGCTGATGCTCCAATTTATGTGAATGCAAAGCAATATGAAGGCATCCTCCGTCGCCGCCGTGCTCGCGCCAAGGCAGAGAAGGAGAATAGGTTGGTCAAGGCCAGAAAGGTGTGGCTCACCTTCTCAAAGTATAAACCGAGGATGTTTATTCCACCATGGCATGCAATGCAAATGTTCTTCTTTCTTTCCATTCATGTGAGTGCTTTCTACAATGCAGCCATATCTTCACGAGTCACGCCATCTTCATGCAATGCGCCGTGCGAGAGGCTCCGGTGGACGCTTCCTCAACACTAAGAAAGAGACCAATGGAAAAGACACTGGTGTTGGGAGCAAGGCGATGGTTGGTAACCCGCTTATGCGGTCAGCTGCATCTCTCAGTTCAGAGATCCAGCACTCTGAGCAGGGAAACCCAAGCAGTGTCTCCAGCATGTCTGGCTCAGAGGTGACAAGCTTGTATGACCATGAAGATGTGGACCACTACCACAACTTTGAGCATCTCCGGACACACTTCTTCACCCCGCTCCCGAGCATCATGGACGGTGAGCATGGGGCCGGCAACCCCTTCAAGTGGGCAGCAGCCTCCGATGGCTGCTGCAACCTCCTCAAAGCATGACTTGAGGGGGTGACGGACAGCCGAAATATCAAGAGATGGCGCAAACCGGCAGCATCTGCCGGCATTGTGTCCAGCTCCAGGGCAGGGATCCTGCCGTCATCTGGCTGTCCGTGGGCAATTCATTCTTGGCTCATGGCATCGGTAGTGCTTTCGCTCATCGCCTACTTGTCCTCGAAGCTTCATGCTAGTTTCCAGGATCCTGTGGTGAGTGGAACACCCCCTTTGCCATAAAAAATATATTATGTAGGTAAGTACTACTGCTTGCTACCATCATCCGACCGTTTCGCGGTAGCAGGTTTAAGTTTCTATTTGAATAAATGTCTGAAACTTCAGACTAGTTTGAACGGTACTGGAATTGGAGTTTGTATGAAGTACTCCTATCTCTTTCGTTTGGAGAAGTATTGGAGTATGTTAAGTAGACTTGGTGATGTGTTGTAATAGTTGGCTTGAAGGTTCTGTGTGTAGACTTGGTTTGTTTGTACTCTGTGGTGTTGACACCTGAAATCAGTGATGTATTGAGACTTGGAATGGTTTGTGAAGTTCCTTATGCTGTGGTCTGTGGCTCATTTGCTTCACACTTGGAACCTCAGACTGAGGCATATTCCATTTGCTTCACACTTGCAGCTGCCAATTTGCAAGAAGGCATCGCCTTTTACTTGATTGGATACTCGAGGAAAGAGAATTTGCTTTGGCTAGCTCTTTGTAATGAGAGTAGCAATCCTGGAGAAAAAATTAATCATAGACAATTACAGATATTACAAAGCACTTCAAACAAAAATCGAAGCATAGGTATAGTAAGTTAGCACAAAAGTATTTGACAAATTGTAATATACTCCCTCTGTAAACTAATATAAGAGCGTTTAGATCACTAAAATAGTAATCTAAACGCTCTTATATTAGTTTACGGAGGGAGTATCAAAGAAGCATTATACCTCCAATATATGATGTCCATTAATAAAATAATTACATTCCTTTTCTGAAAACTAAACATATCTCCATATGCATCATTGACTTACTATCATTATATTAGTATGCCAACAACAAACATCAAAACATATATCCAAAATAACTTGTTTATATCCCACCCAAAAAGGAGCTTTGTAATAGCCTTTCATCACCAAATAATAAAAATTAACATGACAAGACAATAAAAAAAACCTTAAAGTTCAATAATTGCAATCAAACACATTGAAATATGTATTCCTTATTTCGTCCAGAGGAGATCTAGTGGGTTTACGCAGGTTCCTACTATATTGTATTTGATTAGTCTGTAGTCCTGCTAAATTTTACTGACTAGTCTCCGGCACGATGACATTTCTCATGAGATGGGATAGGGCAGCTTCCCTATTTATATATTGGGTGTAGTAGTATGGTAGCTATATTTTAGGAATCTGTTACATACGAGATATCCCTGGACACATGGAAAGTGAATCACCATGTAACTATAAGACTCCTAATGTTACGCTCCCAACCTTATATCCTCTTGAGTTCCCAGTCGGGTGCTCGGAGCACAAGACCCCAGAGCCCCGGGGACTCGTTAAAAAGGAAAGGCTCAAGAGTGTCCGTATGGTGTTCCCAGATGAGTAGAAACATGCGGAATAAGGGTATCCCATCATGGGATGTCCAGGACATCTCCGTCAATCTGTTGTAATGGGTCGGGTGCAAACGTTATCTGAGTAGTGGTGGTCGATCGAAGTCATGCTTGTAGACCCCCCGACACTGAACGCACAACGACATCAGCCCGAGTGTGAGCACATGCCCCATTGGGGGATTTCAACCGTTGTCTGCCCGGATGTTGGTGGGTGCATGATGGAGCAGCTATGGTGTCCTTTTTGGCACTCACGTCTCCGCACCTAGCCGCCAAAAGCCACCCACTGCACATTGGAGTGTGCATCAAGAAACAACCGCGAGTGAAGCAACCAGACGATACAATCCGCCTTCCAGAAGCGTACACGTAGCAGGTGAACGTGACACCTATCGTGTGATAGGAAGTGACCATCAGCATGGCTCTCCACGCCGCATCTACACCAACCGGCTACTCAGCAACACACCCTCATCTTGCGTCCGCCGACCAAAACCAACGCACCAAACCACCATATCAACCACAACACCTCTAAACGCCCGAACCAAGTTCGTGTGCTCCAATGTGACGCCCGGATAATTAAACTACAATAATCCTTTGCTAATGATGCCACGTCACCACGATTACTGTTGTTAAACTCGCATAGGTTCAAAACTGGTCCAAATTCAAATTTAAAATAAAGTCGAAAATCAAATTTTCAAATGTCAAAACTAAAATGTTCTAGGTGTGGCAAATAATCTTTGATTATTTGTCATGTCGGAACCTATAATTTATAATGTGCTTTTAATGCCCTAAAAAAATAAAACATGGCTAAAATAATTATTAAATGCTTTTTAATTAATGCACAAACACAAACTATTTAGTTAATGTGTCAAGTTATTTAAGGCAGTGGAGTTATTTAATAATGCTAATTTAGGTGCTTCTTTGGTATTATATAAAACTAAAACAATATAAAAGAAGCTAGAAAACAGGGAATGTAAAAGAAGAAAGAAACAACACCCCCCGGGCTTTGGCCCACCAAGCCGGCCCACCTACCTCACACGAACTGGCCCAGTTCCCCCTCCTGCGCCGTCTTCACTGTGCGGGCGACCGAGCGCCCGCGTCAGGTTGCCACCACGCCGCCTCGCCGGTGTCGACAGGGGGATAAGGCCGCGACGCCTCGGCCTTCCCCTGCCATCTCTGTGATACGTCTCCAACGTATCTATAATTTTTTATTGTTCCATGCTATTATATTATCTGTTTTGGATGTTTAATGAGCTTTATTATGTACTTTTATATTATTTTTGGGACTAACCTATTAACCAAAGGCCCAGCGCAAATTGTTGTTTTTTTGCCTATTTCAGTGTTTCGCAGAAAAAGAATATCAAACGGAATCCAAACGGAATGAAACCTTCGCAAGGATCTTTTTTGGAGCAAACGTAATTCAGGAGACTTGGAGTGGAGGTCAAGAAAGCAACGTGGCGGCCATGGGGTAGGGCGGCGCGCCCCACCCTCGTGGGCCCCTCGTAGCTCCACCGACCTACTTTTTTCGCATATATATACTCTTATACCCTGAAAACACCCAGGGGATCCACGAAACCACTTTTCCACCACCGAAACCTTCTGTACTCGTGAGATCCCATCTAGGGACCTTTTCCGGCGATCCGCCGGAGGGGGATTCGATCACGGAGGGCTTCTACATCAACATCATAGCCTCCCCGATGATGTGTGAGTAGTTTACCACAGACCTTCGGGTCCATAGTTATTAGCTAGATTGCTTCTTCTCTCTCTTTTGTTCTCAATACAAAGTTCTCCTCGATATTCTTGGAGATCTATTCAATGTAATACTTTTTGCGGTGTGTTTGCTGAGATCCGATGAATTGTGGGTTTATGATCAAGTTTATCTATGAACAATATTTGATTCTTCTTTGAATTCTTATATGCATGATTTGATATCTTTGCAAGTTTCTTTGAATTATCAGTTTGGTTTAGCCTACTAGATTGATCTTCTTGCAATGGGAGAAGTGCTTAGCTTTGGGTTCAATCTTGCGGTGCTTGATCCCAGTGACAGAAAGGGAACCGACACGTATTATATTGTTGCCATCGAGGATAACAAGATGTGGTTTATATCATATTGCTTGAGTTTATCCCTCTACATCATGTCATCTTGCCTAATGCGTTACTCTGTTCTTATGAACTTAATACTCTAGATGCATGCTAGATAGAGGTCAATGTGTGAAGTAATAGTAGTAGATGCAGAATCGTTTCGGTCTACTTGACACGGACATGATGCCTATATTCATGATCTGCCTTAGATATCATCATAACTATGCGCTTTTCTATCAATTGCTCGGCAGTAATTTGTTCACCCACCGTAATACATGCTATCATGAGAGAATCCACTAGTGAAACCTATGGCCCTCGGGTCTACTTTACATCATATAAGTTTCTGATCTATAATTCTAGTTTACTATTTATTTTGCAATCTTTATTTTCCAATTTATAAAACAAAAATATCAAAAATATTTATCTTATTATCTTTATTAGATCTCACTTTTGCAAGTGGCCGTGAAGGGATTGACAACCCCTTTACCGCGTTGGTTGCAAGGTTCTTGATTGTTTGTGCAGGTACTAGGCGACTTGCGTGTAGTCTCCTACTGGATTGATACCTTGGTTATCAAAAACTGAGGGAAATACTTACGCTACTTTGCTGCATCACCCTTTTCTCTTCAAGGGAAAACCAACGCATGCTCAAGAGGTAGCACTCTCCCACTTTCCTCGCTCGCCTCTCCCTCTCCGCCTCCCCTCCTCAGATCTCCCTCCTCCCCGAGCGCATCTGACGCCACACCGTCGTCGACCGTGAGGCCAAGGACTTCACCGCGCCACCAAGTGATTTCCAGGAGGACCCCCGTCGCCGTCTGCGTCGACTAGGAGCACCAGATTGTAGTGACCAGACCTCAAACAGTCTGATCTCTGTGTATTAGTGTCATCCCTGGATCGGTAATGCTGACACGCACAATACTTGAGGATTTATAACAGAGTAGCAATCACACACTTATTACATCAAATGTCTCAAAAGAGAACTTATTACAATAAATATGGCTTAAGGCCATCTAATACGATAACAACGGAAGGCTTGGAAGATAAAGTGAGTCCATCAACTCCAATGGCATCACTGAGTGAAAGACCACGACCTAAGGCTCCTTACTCGTCGTCTGAAAAGTCTGCAACATAATATGTTGCAGCCCAAAACGGGTCAGCACATGGAATATGCTGGCAGTGTACCACAAGAGAGTAATGAATAGAAAAATGCTATCACTACATGCATATATGGCTGGTGGAAAAGCTCTATGGTTATAATGTTTTTGCGAAAAGCCAATTTTTCTCTACTGCAAAGGAATATATTTTATTTAACTACAAAGTTGGTTGAAAAACATTA